TGCTAAGTAATTGTGTGATTGAAGAAAAGTAGTATCTGTTACACTGTCTTTTTGAAATTGGTTCAATGTGTAAAAATATTAGTACTACAATAGTGTTAATATTGTATATTCATTTATTAAGAGCATGTCAGCCAGTTAAGTATCCAAACAATGGTCAGCAAAAAAAAAATTAGTTCTGAAAATTGGGAACAGTGACTATTTTAATAGCAAGCATTATTTTTGAAGCCTCATTCAGAGCTGCTTTTAGATCTAAATGTAATTTGCTTTATAATTTAATACTAGTTTAAGCATTCTACATACAGTTGCTATGTTTCCTTTTAAGAGGTAATAATCCATTTATAAAGTCTGGACATTTCAATCAGAATTCCTCTTTAAAATGTGAATCAGTTTTACTATTGCCTTTTAAAATGTTACCAATTTTATATGTGCTTTTTATATCAATGTTATACTTTCTGTTTTGTTTCAGGTATTTAAACCATGTCAGAGCTGCCTCTCCACAAGACCTTGCTGGAGGCTATACTTCTTCTCTTGCTTGTCACAGAGCGCTACAGGATGCATTCAGTGGACTTTTCTGGCAGCCCATGTAACCTTTATTTCTCCTTTATGAGCTTTGGACCTTGGAGCCGAACCAGGGAGTGAGCAAAAATAAAGTAGACTTGTAAAATTATAGCCATATGCGGCTGTTTAACAATAGCACTACCACTAGCAGCTATGTTAAAGTATTTATAAAGAGAAAATTTCGGAACTTAGCTGGGTAATATAGTGGATAAATATTTGTGGAAAAGATTTATTTTTATCTATATTTTTCTGAGAGGGACTGAAGTTGTAAGCCTCATTTGATGGTAGATATGAGTAATTCACCTATGTATATTTGAGGTTGACAGACTTGTTAAAAATCTCCTTAAAAATAAAGCTAGACTTCATATTAAGTTTTGTGGGGTTTTCTTATTACATTGCTTTACTTGAACATATTTCAAAATGCCATTTTGAAAATGACATTTACAGTTAATATCCGAGTCTATTATTTCTTCTCATAAAATGCTCCTCCTCCTGCCCCTCCCCCACCCTCACCATTACCCTCACCCCTGCAATGTTTTCTTAATACTGGTTCAGACAAGTGGATATATTTCCTTCTACCAGCAGGTTGTGACAAGCAAAACCTGACCTGTGATAATGTCACTCAATATTAAGGACTCAGTGCCTGTTCTGAGCAGTGGAAAGTGAGAAAAACTTTCAGCAAGGTATTATAGTTCCCAGCTGTGAGCCACACTTAGGATAAACCAGAGCAGAGTATTAACCTGCTTTAATGGAAATTCAAAGAAGTAAGTTAATAGAATTTATTATGTAAATGGCACTTTTCATAGAAATTTGAACTTATTTTATGATGATTTGGAGATTAGAATTGATACTTTCAAAATAAAATTTCCCTGTGTGTAAATTGCAGACTCTGATGGAGTTTTGTTAAAACTTCAAAGGCTTTTTAATATACCCATGATTTTGCATAGAGTTTGGATCTGGATAGGATGGATATTTGCAGCATCTCAGTCTTGTATGGATCAGTTACATAGACTGCTAGATATGGGACATAGCTTCTCAAGGAAATTAAGGGATTTCCTATCAGATCTCCATTACGATAATTGTTACTTTCATGTGTAGAAAGTCATGTGAAACAAGATTTGTAGTTACATTAAGCTGGAATATGCTTTGTAGGGTAAGTGATAGGCTTTTGTGCTGCTGGCCTTGAATGCAGAAGGTACTATCACCTGCAGCCTTGAAAATGCTGGTGGTACGTGGGAACATGGGCTCAGGGTATGCATGCCTGACTGTGGACACCTGGAATATTGTGTGATCACATGTAAGTGGGCACATCTGAGCAGAGACAGAGGCTATAAGGATAGTGTCACACAGAGGATGGTGTATGGTGGAGAATGGCTGCTGTGGAAAGTGACTACAGAGAAGAAGAGACCAGGAGATGATGCCAGAGAGAACCCAAAGAGAAAGCTAAAGATTCACTGTGGGTTAGAAGGCCTGCCAGCCTCCTGGCCCCCTGCCCTGCTGCCTGCCCTGTGCCTGGTGGCTCCACTTCATCTGTGTAACAACTCCATCTATTTTGACTAAGTAGATATTAATTTCAGAGTACATCTTCATCTTTCCAATACTAACCATACTTGATAATTGAGAAAATGAAGGCATTAAATAATTGAGTAGGCCAAGATCATATACACAGGTTAGTAAAAAACCAAAATTGGAATACTAAGTATAGTCAATCTGTACTATACAGGCTACATCCTATTTCTCATATCTCGTGTTTTAAGTACAATCTTTAAATCTGTTCAAAGCATAGTGAGAACATTGGATTTATGATAAAGCTTTGTGTGCTCAACTGCCAAAGTAAAGTAGCCAGTCTTTAAAACAGAAAGAATATTACTTTTTTCTTAGTACCTTGCATAATGTATTTAAATGGCTTTCATAAAATAAAAAGGCTTTCAAAACTTTTAACTTATCTTACTTTGTGGAAACTGCCTGTACCTGATCTGACAAATTCTCAAACCATAGTGCATTGTAAATATTTTGCCTTTCCTATTGCCATACTTTGTTCGAGACCTAATTTAGTAGTTATTAATTGACCCTATTAGATCGAAAGAAAACCTAATGATAATTCACTAAACAGAAATGTTGTAAATTAATTGGATTTCCCCTATCTTCCCAATGATTTTCTCTTTTTTTGGAGATAAAAGACTGTACAAGTATTCCATCAACGCCAATTAAAATTTTTAACAGTTTGCAACACTAGCACAAAAGAGCATTTACCTATGTGCCAAGCACTGTGCTTCACATTTTATGTATAAATAATCCTTACAATAATCCCACTATTATTTTCCCCCTCTTTAACTGGTGGAGAAGCTGAGGCATACAGAGGTCAAGCAACTTGTCAAAGGTGATTACCAATTTAAAAGCAGAGTTGGGATTTGAATCCAAGTGGCCACACTCCAGAGTCTATATGCTAAAGGCGAATGTCAAACTGTCAAATTTACAAACAATAACTGTGTAAAACCAAATTTGAGTATAGTCAAACTTAAGACTTCCAGCAAAATTTATAGATCAAGTGTTGCATTCTTTTAGATATTTAATGTTTAAGTGACATTAAGTAACCTTTTCTGGTACCCTTGAGAGAAGTTCTGAGAAATCCATTGCATGGCACATTATTTTACTATTAACTACATTCCCTTTTAAGCATTTATTAATAGTATTAAATATGTATTTACAGTGTAGTCAGAATGCATTAATATTGTGTATTCCCCAGTTTCATTCAATATTTGATCTAAACTTAGAGTCTACCTTTTAGGGTGTTGAGGTGATCAGATAATCACTTCCAAATCCAAGTATAGTGGGAAAAACTTGTCAAAAGCTAACAAAGTTAAAAAATTATATTACGAACTTTCCAGCTATCATTTTCTAATGAATTCATCCAGAATTCAGTCAAAAGGTATTACATCAAAAAAGCTTAGATTTAAATACTAATCCATTCTGAAAGAAAAGAGGGGAAGGGTTCATATATTAGCAGAAGCATTGAAATATTTTTATTAAAATTATGTATGATATATTTTATGTAATTAAGGGATGACTAAATAGACAAGAATGTTATCAATTTACATGTATGAAAAAGAACACTATTTGTACCTAAACTTAATAATCCTAACCTAGAACATCAATATATAGCACTCGGGGAAAAATTTGTTATTCTTACTTGCTAGTTCACCTTCACCTAGATCAGGAGAAAGCAAACTATGGACCCCTGACCAAACCCAGCTGCTGTCTGTTTTGTATGCTAATGAGCTAAAATTAGTTTCTGCAATTTAAGATTGAAAAAAGTCCAAAAAACAGTGTACTTTGTATCATGTGAACTGCATATAAAATTCAAATTTCATAAATATCCATAAGTAAAATTTTATTGAAACAGTATTTTTTGTATTATCTATGGCTGCTTTGGGGCTATTATAGCAGAGTTGAGAACAACAGCAACTTTATGGCTTGCAAAGCGTAATATAATATTATGCCCTTTTCAGAAAGTTTGCTGACCCCTACACAACATTCTACTCAGGAGGTAGAGAAAGAAAATTAGAAGTCTCAAAGTAGAAGCTCCTGACTGAATTATCCTCTAGACCTTGTAGAGGATGGGGTGGGGTGGAGTGGGTTTCAAAGCAACTTGACTTTGTGCCTTTAGATAAAAAATGGGGGCTCCAATTCATTTCTTCCCTTTACTTCTATTTATTGCTTTCATCTGTTTATATGACCTGCCGGGTTTTGATTAATTTAGATTACATGCATTCTTGAACTTTTTTCTGCAGAGACAAACATTGAATATTACTAAGATAAAATTGAGAACATTATATGGGTACTTAAATAATGATAAAGTAAATTGGCACTTTTTAAAATTAAACTTCAAAATAAAGTTGAGTATATTTCTTTGTAATGCCTTTTTGGGGAATAACATCTTTTAATTGCGGAGTTACAAAATGAATTGTAAATAACCACTGTTAATGGTTATCTGTAATGAGATTTTACGCGTATCTTTTTTAACATTTATTTATTTATGCATAGAACTGGGGTGTAGGCCAGAGGTGCAGGGGTTAAGAGGCTTCACCAGCCACAGAGTGGGGAGCAGAACAAGCGGATCTACTGAAATACACTGCTGATGGGAGCAGTGGGCGAGACAGGAGAGGTCTGCTGCACCATGTGGGTTAGCTGCATGACCAGGGATAGAACTCATGCTGCAATGGCTGCTGATAGCTTGATAGATAGTGCTGAGACTTTAACCCCTGTGCCACCAGAAAAACTCCTACCCATATCACCTTTAAAAATGTCTTTTCATACAAATACTGTCTGACACTGGTAACAATCCAGGAACATTTTTTTAACTATACATATTCATCACTTGGAAGGGGATTTGTAAAATTCTAGTAATTTTTTTTTAAAAGATTTATTTATTTATACGAGCACTGGGTACATTTTCCTGGTCCCTTATTTAAGTTTTCTAGATTCCTGCTATGAGTGAGACAATCCGGTATTTTTTCCAGCTCCATCCATGTTGCTGCAAATTGCATGTGTTTATCTTTTTTGAATGCCGAGTAGTATTCCATGGTGTATATGTACCCATCTTCTTGATCCAGTCATCTATTTTTGGGCATCTGGGCTGTTTCCAAAGCTTAGCTATTGTAAACAGTGCTGCTATAAACATAGTGGTGCAGGTGCTCTTTGGAATTGATGTTTCTGTGTCCTTTGGGTAAATACCTAGGAGTGGAATTGCTGGATCATATGGAAACTCTATGTTTAGTAGGTCCAGAAATCTCCACACAGCTCTCCATAGTGGTTGGACCAGTTTGCACTCCTACCAACAGTGCAGAAGAGTTCCTTTTTCTCCACACCTTCGCCAACATTTGTTGTTGCTAGTTTTTTAATATGTGCCATTCTCACTGGTCTAAGATGGTATCTCATGGTAGTTTTGATTTGCATTTCACTGATTACAAGTGATGTTGAACATTTTTTCATATGCCTGTTGGCCATTTGCATTTCCTCTTCAGAGAAGTTTCTTTTTAGCAATTCTGCCCATTTTTTCACTGGATTATTTTCTTTGTTGTTGTTGAGTCTCATCAGCTCTTTGCAGATTTTTGTGATCAGTCCTTCATCATTAGGAAAAATGATGCGCAAAAATGTTCTCCCAGTTGGTGGGGTTTCTCTTTGTTTTTGTTATTGTCTCTTTTGCTGTGCAGAAGCTCTTTAATTTGATGTAGTCCCAGCTGTTTATCTTTGCCTTCACTATCATTGCTTTGGGTGACGTGTCTGTAAAGATGTCTTTGATGTGAATATCACGTAGTGTTTTGCCTATATTTCCTTCTATGTATTTTATGGTTTCAGGTCTTATGTCTAGTATAGAACAAGAGGTTTTTTTTTTTTTTTTTTGGCTGATACATTTTTTTATTTAAATATTTTATTTAATTCTTATATCTTTTTTCATCTTTGCTCAATGTATGCGTTTTCATTTTGGTTATATTCCCCATACAATTGCACACCCCCCCTTATTTTGACTCTAGTCCCCTCCAACCCCCCCGCGGTGTGTCTCTGGTTTATAGTTGCTTGTTAATTTGTCTGACCAAGTCTTTGTATTTCACACTTTCACACTTAACATAGCAAATTCTTCAGGTTGTAAAGAATTAGGTTTTCTCAACTTCTTTGAAAATATTCACCTGCAGTTGTTCATGTATTTTCAGTAACTCAAACTCAATATTGACACTTCAAATGAACAAGAAGTAGGCAGTGTCAACAAGATCAACACAAGTTAAAGAACCACTTGAATTCATGTACCTTTTTAATTGACTTGATATTGTTCCCACTGTCATCAATCCTTTGAGAAACTGTTGTTGCCAAAAGATCAATAGTCTTAAGTTTAATTCCTCTGCATGTGTTTCTTCAGTGGCAGCCACACAATTTACCATCAGCAAGTGGCTTTCCTTGCTTGCTAACAAGAATCACTTAGAGAACTTTGGTTACAGCTTCATTTTCATTTTTTATTTTGTGAAGAATTCTGAGATATTTCTATTCTAAACCTAATCTTTCTGACAGTTGTGTGCCTGTTGGGAATACGGTGGTGTATCATTTGGTAATGTCAAAATATAGTTTTAGCTCAGTTCTATATGCTTTTATCATCTAATACAGTATCAAAATAATTCATACTACACTGTGCCATAAAGGCACAATATCAGAAGTCCACTTTTCTTGTTTTGACAGGATGGATATACACACTGGTAATAATCAAATCAGATGTTATAGCTTACTGTATGCAGCATCAAAATGCTATTGAGTTGTAACTGTTCTATTAATTTGCAATATGTTGAGCAGCAGTGTGAAAAGTGAATCATATACAGACTGATTACAACTACTCACTCCTGTTGTTAACCATGAAAATAGCTGGACAGTATGTAAACAAAAAAGCATGGTGTATTCCAGTAAAACTTTATTTATGGGCACCGAAATTCAAAATTCATATAATTTCTATGTCACAAAATGCTACTCTTGATTCTTTTTCAATCACTTAAAAATATGAGAACCATTCTTAGGTTACCTGCCATACAATAAAACAGGTAGGGGCCAGATTTGGCCTGCTGGACATAATCTGCCTATCTCTGATCTAAATAATCTCATTTTTTATTATTTATAATGGTGGTGTAGAGGTAGTTATATAAACCACAGCTACATTCTTCAATTAAGGGTAATAGCAAAATAATATTTTAGTTTTAAACGTCCCTACTTTAGTATGCAATTATTCTGCCTTCAAAAATTATTTTCCCAAATAGTAGACAGTATTTCTACTGTCTACTAAAATGTTTGATATAATTTATAAAATTATTTTAATATATTAGCATAATTCAGTTAATAATCCTCAAACTGTGAGAGAGCAAAGATGAAAAAAGGGGGTTTAATATTCAAGTAGCTAAATGCTAAAAGTATACAAAATTATACAAATTATATTTAACTATGTAAAAGTTTAGTGGGGAGATGAAGAAAAATTTCCAATTAAGCAGTTTGTGGTTTTTTTCCTTCTGAAAAGGGTTAATCCGTCCTCTGACGTTTAAGGGGTGGATCTTCAAGAGTCTCTGTAACAAATGCAGAAAACCTGTATTAGGTAAGACACTAACATTTGAAAATACTTTTTATTTATTTTATTTTAGGATTTATCATTTTTTAAACTTTTAGACAATATTTGCTTCCCCTCACCTCCTCAGATTGAATCCCCATAGAATTCCTTCCCCAAGGCACCCATGCACCATTACCACAGTCCCCTGTGCTCCTCCTCTCCCGCCCTCTCATCCTTGAAAATACTTTTAAAAAATAATATGGGGGGCCTCTCCAGTGGTGCAGTGGGTTGTGCGCAGCACTGAAGCTGTACGCAGCCTCTGCAGCTTGGGTTCTATTCCCAGCCAGCCAGGGAGATTCCTACATGGTGTGGCAGACTTCTGTTGCGTGCCTGCTTTTCCCCTCAGCAGTGTATTTCTGTCATCTGCCTGTCCTGCTCCCCGCTCTGTCTCTGGTGAATCCTCTCACCCTCCTGTGCCTCTGACCTGTACCCCAGTTCTTGTGTAAAAATTAATATTAAAAAATATGGGGATTTTAAAGATTTTTAGTATGTTTAACTTATACTTGAATTTATTATTTTAATGAAATAGTCTACTATACTGAACAGTGTATCATACTAGAATTGATAAAATTGGATCACAGATAAATGGCAGAGATCTTAAATTGAAATATCTAATGGGTTTAGTTACTCTAATCCAACTTTAATACAAAATATAAAATACCTATGTAGCCTGAAAAAAAAAATGTGTGAAAGATATCACAGTTTACATTTAATCTCCCAGTATCACTCACCTAGGCTTAAGGGCTGGTTCTTGTACAGAACAGCAACAGGAATCTGAAAGGTGATGCATACCATCTCCTTGTTAGGGGCCACGTTTCTTACTAGGTGAACTGAACTGCACGCCTCCAGTGAAATGCCCAATGCAGCTCCAGCTCGTTGCTGAACATCTTTAGCAGGATTAGCATCTTTGGAAAAGCTGTAACAGTGAACTATGGGAAGGAACTCATGGCTACATGGCTGCCCATCTAAAAGCAATTTGAAAGCAGTGAGAAACTCGATAGCCTTTGCTGGCAAGTTCATGACAATGTGCACAGAGTGTTTTCTTTCTTTTGACAGTGGCCCCAGCTGCTCCATTAACTCTTTTCTGACTGGTCCTTGCAGGAAGTCTTTCCCATCCAAGTTAAAGACCTTTACCTTTTGATCTACTTTATTTAATTTACAATTGTGCAGTAGCCATTTATGGGATTCAGGATTGAGATCATTGGCAAACACAGTACAGTTTTTCTTTGCTACTGGAATGGCAAACGGCCCAACCCCAGCAAAAACATCAAAGAGGACATCCCCAGGTTTGAGAAGTTCTGTGATACGGCTGTGTTCTGTAGAGAGACGAGGATTCCAGTAGACTTTTGAAAAATCAAATTCATAGGTGTAGTTGTTTTCTCGAACCTGAAAAAAAGTATTATGCTTTTTTGTTAATCTGATTAGTTTTAAATCTTAGCCATTGATATTGGATGGGTGTACCCACCCACCAACCCACATTTAAATTTACTACTATTAAAAGCAAATAACTAGGCATTTAAACATTTCAATTAGAATTCTGGTGTTTATATTATCGAGGCTAATTAATCTCTCACAGGAGATTTCTTCCTGAGAAAAGTCATTTCTTCGAGGCCAAAAGGCTCTCCTCACTCTAAAGGGCCATAAAGTGGTTTCCAAAGACATTAAGAATTTTTCAGATAGGTCAGTTGACAGGCTTAATTGGCCTATATGAAAAAAAATTTCTCTTATGTTATCTAATGGAGAGTGGAAAAAACTAATTTGAAACAACACACTATTCATAATTTTATGTGGTTATGAGTGCTAACCACGTGCTAAGGTGAGTGCTAAGTTGCAAACAACACTTCCACACAACAAATAAACCTCCTTCCTTATTCAGTGTTCAGTTTGTAAGAGAAGCATGATATATAGATGTGTTATGTGTCATTTAATTTTGAGGTATTTTACTATGTTTTTAGAGTTTCATGGATTTTGTAAATTTCACATCCACAAGTCAGAGCCGGTGTGTAGAACAAATCATTGCCCTATTTTCTCCTTTCTTCAACTTCAGTTTTCATGGATTAACTAAATATATAACAGTGAAGCTTAGTCCTGAACAAAATTAAGACTTTGAACCATATCTTTTGGGGTTATCTGTCTCCAAAAGAACATAAACATGACAGAAAATGGAAAACAAAACTAAAAGTTATAGAATCTGTCCTTAATATCATCTGCAGTCCCTTATTTTAACAGGTGAAGAATCAAAGGCTAGCGAATTCTAAGTTCTATAAATCTAATAGAGACACATCTTTTGTATTCTGCCTTTATGAACCTTAATTCCAAATCTATACATATTTTTCCCCTCTCAACCACATCAGATACTCTGGCCACATTATTAATGTTTCAGAGTTGAAAATGTTTCCAGATTGTGTCAACTAAAAGTCTTTCTAGGTATATATATCTTGGGATGCTTTTCCTGAAATCTACTTGCCTTTTTAAGCTTCTTAATGTGAAGCACTAAATCAGGGAAAAAAAACAATAACAAACCCCAGCTACATTCTAAGTATCCTGGCTTTACTCATGCTATCTTTTATATCTCAATTTCACTTCCTTAAATTACTTTTCTGCCAGATTCACTTTCAGGAATCTTTCTAATCACAACATGGGTACATATTGTACCTAAATGTTGCATGAGGGGCCTCCCCGGTGGCGCAGCGGTTGAGCGCTGGGTTGCGAAGCTGCCCGCAGCCTCTGCAGCGCCGGTTCGATTCCCGGCTGCTCCCCGGCCACCAGAGGAGGGTCCCACATGGTGCGCAGACCTCTCCTGCCGCCCGCTGCTCCCCTCAGCAGTGTACTTCGGTCCTTCTGCCTGCTCTGCTCCCTGCTCTGGCTCTGGTGAATTCTCTCACCCTCCCGCGCTTCTGACTGTACCCAGTGCATGTATAAACGAAACAAACGAACAAATAAATAAATAAATAAAAACATGCCTCTATAAAAAAAAAAAAAAAAAAAAAAAAGTTAAATGTTGCATGAGTTCCTAAAGTAAACTGAAGTGTGATTCTGTTTGGAACAGAGAAATTATACTCAGTCTTTACATTCATTTTATAATATAAATATTACTATAAAATACATCCAAAGGATAAACTTTAGTTGATTTACAAAACCAAGTGCAAGGCTTTTGTAAAATTACTGAAGTTTCTAAGAGCTTTAGGATGCTCTGTGAGAGGGCTGCTACCCGTTAATCCCAAAAGTCAATACCAAGTGAACAAAATGCATAATGTTCAGTCTGGTTATGCCTAAAGCATATGCCTTAGTGTTAGCTGAGATAAGCATTGTTATCAAGGGATTCACATTCAAATCTTCTATACAAGATCTCACAATTACGCACCAGCAATAGGCAGTGGAGTTTGGTATACAGAGAACCATGCATAAGGTGTAGAGTTAATAGCCTAGCTCCAAATACCTTGCTCATTCCTTGTTACTTCATAAAGAGAATATAGTAACATCATTAGTCCTTAGGTTCCTTAGGATTTGTTACATTTAAAACATTTAGTTCAGGGCTTAAGTAGTAGTGGTATTTCAGTATTTTGATACCATTAAACTATGGAGAAAAAGTATAATACTTACAATCATCACTTAAGTCTTATGTGGCCTTTCTATTTCAAATTTTTGCTAAATTATGCAGAGTGTTTAATTTGTTTCCTAGCTTGGGTACAAAATTTCACATAAGGTCCACATTTTGGCTTTAACCAAGTTTATTATATTCTGTATGCTTCAGTATTTTAGGAGTGTAAGATGAGAAAGTGGTTTAGATCAGGAATCTTGTTCCTACATGCTTTAAGTTTTGTTTGAACTAGATGTTTTATTTCTCTTATAAAAGAAATATGTGCTCCCTAGAAAAGCATATAGGTGATCATAAGGGCCACAATACTAAATAAAAAAATATGTCCACTGTTAATATTCTGATACATGTTCATATTTATAGAGATATTTAATTAAAATGGAACTATGTTACATATAATGTTACACAACTTGCTTGTCAATGGACAATTTATTTTAATAAACATGGAGCTAGTCTAATAATGGAGTATTTTATTTTACTATTATGTAAGAGTTGATCAATTCTCTATCAATGAATATTTAGGTTGTTTCCATTCCTTTATTTGTTTGCTTATTTACTATTATAAAAATGGTGATGATGAACATATACACACACACACACACACACAACCGATATACATAATTACAATTATATCCTCCAGATAACTTCCAATAAATGGAATGCTAGGTCAGAGGACACACCCATTCAAAACAGCAGTATGTTGATATTATGACACTTTTCCCAAATGTCTGTATCAAATTTGTACTCCCATCAAGAGTAGATGTAAATTCTCACATACTCATCAATACTATTATAAATATTTTTAATCCTTGTCATCCATTCTCATTCTAAACATTAATCTTGATATACATCGTACTAGGAGACAATAAAATACTTTATACCTTGGTCATCATGTTCTCCTCTCCAGAGAGTACTTCCATTTGGAAATTTCGGTATGTATTATCAATATTATTGATTTTATTTACTGCTGAGGTGATTCCTGGATTTTTGTCAATCACAACTTGGCCTAAAAGAGATAAGCATTTATAATAAATACAAGCTATTGGTTCCAAAATAAAATGGATATGAATTTTCTATTGGTTTATGTTTAAAAAAAAACTTTATCTAGCATGTATAACATAGAAGCAAAAAACTTCAACAGATTACTCATGTTAATGTCTGATACCCTCCAATAGAAACACAGAAAAAACTGTAAGTACATTTTTAAAGAAAAATTTTTGATTTAGATATATCCAACTTTATTTTTATGTGTTTAATAAATCTTTTAAAATGTACCAATACAACAATAAGCAGCAAAACCAGACTATAGGAAATTGGCAAAGAATGGAAAGAAATATAAGTGCTGTGGTAATTAATGGTCTTAAAACATCAGCCTGTCCCCATTAGCCTCAAACCAAATGTTTGTGTACTGCATACTTAAAACACATGCCCACATGCCTCCATTTTGGAAATAAATGTCAGCAAAATGTTTTCAAATAAAATGAACATATTCTTGTGTCTTAATGTTCATTTACTTACAATCTCCTTCATGTCAAGTATTTGCCAGAGTAGGAAAAGCTACAAAAATAATAAAATACACAGACATGGTATATTGATGACTTATTATCAAAGTTGACTTTTTGTCAGCATTTTAACAATTTATAAGATTCTATATGTTATCTCATTGCATAAGGAAAGATAATGATATATAAGTCAGTAAAAAGTATTTGATAATACAAATGCTGAAATATAACCACATTTGTCCAATTCTCTGATAGTTAGCTGCTGATTTTGAATATGATAATATCAATAAATTCTAGTCAATCATTACTTTTATCTAGCTCTGCTTCAGCTATTACAACTCAATTTTTAAGGTACATAAGTTAGGTAAAAACAGATATTAAATTTTTGTATAAAAGACCTATTCTGAAGGCCTATAGTAAAAGCTTTAAAATTGTTACTGTATGAAAATATTTCACTTTAAATTTGAGTGCCCCTTTTGGACAGACAGGTTATAAAATGGGAATGCCAAAAAGCATTACTGTGTTAGGATATGCAGTGACTCACTGGACAGCCTAAATTTGACATTTGTACCCAGTGATAAAGATCTGCTTAAGTGTTTATTATGTTATCACCAGGTATTATCAACCCCTGTCATCAATATAAACAACAGAAATGCACAATAGCATATTTCTGAAATCCTAACCATGCAAAATACTATATGATAAAGCTGAAAATAATTACCAGAAGTTCTGACAATTACTCTACATTATGAAAAAAAAAATAATCAGGAGAATGCATGAACATTAAATATTTATGTAAGAACAAATGCAATAGTTCTTATAAAAAAGTTTTCTATTTTTTTAAATCCTGGGGCTAAAAGTAGTACATACACAAGCACTGGCTCTAAAAGGCTAGGAGAAGGAGCGCTAAAAAACAAAGGTGCCAGACATACAGAAGAGACTTACTTAACTGAATTAACAAAAGCATGATTAAACATTCTCACATTTTTTTATTACAAAATACTCAAATTTATAAAACCTGGCATTTGGATAGGCCAAAAGGCCTACAAAGTCCTGTGTACCTACATGACAACTCACCAAATTATTTTACCAAAGCTGATTATTGAAGTTTAATCTATACTTACAAGCTGCATACACAAAAACCTGAATTGGTATTTAGAGCATGTTATGACTTCAAGGGTATCCCAGAGTGGGCCTCAAGCGGGGTATGAAAGGGAAGATTTTAAAATGATAGTGTACTGCTTCTGTAATCTGGCATTTAAAAAATTGTTTAAAACTATGGGCCTCCCTGGTGGCGCAAGGGGTTAAGATGCGATCTATGGAGCTCTCTGTGGCCACTGCAGCATGAGTTTGATCCCTGGCCAGGGAGCTACCCACATGGCACAGCAGACCTCTCCTGACTCACCTGCTGCTCCCCTCAGCAGTCCCTTCAAACTGCCTGTTCTGTTCCCTACTCTGGTGAATCCTCTCACCCTCCACACTCTGGCCTGTTCTTGTATACATAAATAAATCTTAAAAAAAATTTTTTTTAAATTAAAATTAGAACTTGCTAATTGTTATACAGCACATTAATACTATTATGACACACCTACCAATTAAATTCTTGAAAGGTAGTTGGTGATCACGAAGGTTCAGGTGGGCAATGTGTCCAACTCTGCTAAATCCTGAAGTCACATCTTGACCTTCAGGAAGTACAGCTCTCAAGATTTCTTCTGACTTAAAGTTTTCATAAGTTAGTTCCAAATCATATTTGGATATCAGTGGATTGACATTAAGCTGCTTTAAAATATTGAGTTCTGCTTTCTCAAAGGAATTAACAGTAAACATTTTATGGGGATCCAACATAATTAGCCTACTTTCTTCATCTTCTGGATCTTCAATCACACGTTTTATGCCTGGGCGCTGCAGTGCTGTCCTTTTAAGGAATCGCATCAACTTATTGACTATTTCTTTTTTCACTCTCAGCACTGGGATGGTGATGGTCTTTTTGAAAGCTGTTCTATCAAGTTCTGTCATTCCTCGCACTTCAGAGGGTGGTGAAAACAACTCAGAGTCTCTCTGAGTTGTTTCTATTTCAGACATGGTTGAGAATCTTTTTCTTTGACCCAAAGAAAAAATACCAGGTGCTTTGCTAAGGTTTTTTATCAGTGATGACCAAGTTAGAGGAATCAACCATACTGACTCAATTATTCTACAGCTTTTCACTTTGAAAAGTCTTCTTGAGAATCCAAATGGTGTCCATAAGTTCCTAAAAAAAGTATTCATTTAAAAAAAAAACCGGTAAGGCTACAAATTCACTTACATATTCATAAATAGGTTTTGAGCATAAAAATCTAAATTCTGTTTAAATAAACTACTAAATGCTGATAATTAAAATTTTTAGTGATATAGGAGAAATATACTCTTTCAGGATAGGGATGGCTTTTATTAGTGGAAAGTAAATTTCCACCTTAAACCACTTGATGCTGGGTCGGGGTTTAATGATCCATCAGCTTTCCAATAGTCAATGAATCCTCTCCACCCTCAATTTTCTATACAATATATATGAAAGGCTGAAATTCGAGTGAAAGAACCATCTCTAAATGAAATGGTCATTATACTTACCATGTTATCAATGGAATATTTACTAGGCTATTCTTTTAAAGTGCTTATTGTGTCAGACGCTCTGCCAAATGCTTTAAAGACAATCATTAACCTCAGGAGTTGTGTACTATCACATTCTCATTTTGTTAAGTGAATAAATGAAAGCTCAGAAGTAAGTAGGTTGATTCACCGAAAAATCTCCTGGAAGCTAAGCGATTGAGCAAGGATTAAAACTCAGGAATGATGGACCTCAGTAATTGTGTTCTCAATACATATATTTCTGTATTTTTTACCTGGTTCCATGGTCTACTGTTAACTCGCCCTGCCTATAACTAGGTTTCAGCATTTTGAAGACTTTGCAAAGTCCCATAATCAGCAACAGTTACTCGCTTAGCGTTCTAAAATATCAAGAAATAATTTTAAGTGGAAAGGATCTTGGCCTGCAACCCTGTAAAGCAACTGAAATTCCACAGGGTTCAAAATACATATAGCAATTAACCGTGTGATCTGGGATAAATTACTTCATCTGAGTCTCGGTCTCCCACCCGCAAAATGTGGCTACAATGTCTACCTGAAAGTTTTCGAAGATTAAACAAATTCCTCACTGTCCAATACGCAGACCCTAGAGTCAGCACCCACGCCGGTGGGTGACGTTTCCGCGCTCAGGCAGCGCGTGTGGCAAAAGCCCGGGGTGGGCTGGGTGCTGCCACCGGACCCTCCCCGATCCCGACGACCTTGCTCAACGGCGCCAAAGTCACAATCCCAGTCCTCGGCGTCGCTCCGCAGCTGGCTCCAAGACCAGCACCTCACCTCATGCCCGGGTGCAGCTCGGAAATGGGCAGCCGGGCAGTGGGCTGGCCTCGATGACATCATTACTGGTCGCCGCAGAGGGCCGAGCGTCAGTAGGTCCCGTTCCCCCACCTCCCCGCCCTGGTGAGGTACGGGAAGCCGGAGGGGCCAGGCCCACAGCTCCGCCTCTGGAGCGACTCACGACGGTAGGATAGAGACAGTGACTCTCACATGGACCTGGTAGTCGGCCAGCGAGCATCATGGAGGCGCCCAGGGGGATTATCGATGCTGAGCTGGGCTGGTACGTCTCTACTCAGCAGCCCGAAGAAGCGGAGGCTGAAGAGTTGAGTCCGTTGCTAAGCAACGTAAGTGGGCTCGGCTAGTTTCCCGGAGCTGACGGCCTGTGGGCTTCTCTGAAGTGCCTGCCAAATTATGAGCGGGAAAAGACGGGGGGTGGCACGGGGAGAGAGGAGGATCTGGATGGGGTTTGATACTTGGGGAATGCGACCCCAGACGGCAACCGAGATTCGGAGGAGGTCCGCGAAGTGTCCGTGAATGTGTTAGCAGTTAACGTGCCCAAAGAAGGCAAACTGAAGCACAGGTGCACTCTCAGGTGGAAGGGGTGCAACACTGAGTCGAGCTTGGACCCGACTAGATGAGCAGCCTTAGTGTTCTGTATCTCATAGTTGTTACTGTCGTAGTAGTCCTCTTCCTGTTTTTTCCACCAGTCATGTGAGTTTTCGCAAGAGTCATAAGATTTTTCTTTTCTCCACTTAGTCATTGGGGTCTGTAAACATCTTAATATAGAATATAGAAATCCTTAGTGAAGAAGTGGAGGTGGCCTGGTAATATGGACATTGTTGGTCTAGTAATGCGTACATGGCACTTCCCTGTGCCTAAAGCTTGTGCAATGGGCACTCAGCTTTTTCGTCCAAGTCCCTGAACTGTAACAGTTTCTGGAACTTTGCTCTCAAATGATATCTTGGGGGAGGGTGTTTTCAGTAGTTTCCTGGCCAGTGCAACATAAGTTGTTTCCATTCTCTGCATGTTGTCCCTGACCATTCTTGCAGTTGGAATGAATGCGCTTAATTCATTAAGTATATTAGTTTTGCAGTTCTACTAATTGGGGAGAGATAGTTTTGCACAGCAGTTCCAAGCTGATTTAGGGATTCTTCAGGGTCACATGCTGCTGAGGCCATAGCCCTCTTCTCCTAACCCGCCACATTCCTATCATAGCTTCATCTTTTGCAATTGCAAGGTTAATCATGGCTTTTTCTGAAGCCTACTGGGGCCCTGTGCTGGTGGAGATGATTTTCTTAGGAAACAAAATTCCTGGAGTTGCACTTAGTATGGAGGTGGAAAGGGTAGAAAAAAACAAACCAATCTGGTTGAGCAACTAGTGTGACACAAAATTCCCAGTGGTTTGCAGGACACTGCCCCCCTCATCTGTCTTTTCTTGACAAAATTTGAACTTTTGTGTGCTTACAGGAGTTTCACAGACGGCAATCCTCAGGTGTTTCATTTGGTTTCTCAGTGTTTAATTTGATGAATGCCATCATGGGAAGTGGCATCCTTACCTTAGCTTATATTATGGCTAATACTGGTATCCTTGGATTTGGGTAAGTTTTTTTTTTTTCTCTTTTTACCAGTACTTTTCATTTTGATGGTAAACACTGAGAAGCAAAGAGACAAGGAACTTTTTATTCCAGAAGTTGGGGTTGTACAATTTCTAGTAAAATTTATTTCAGTGGTTTTAGCATTTTCCTGTTAATTTTATAGTGGTACTAGTCTGTAGCTTGGATGGATGCTATATAATTTGTATTGTTTATCTAAAAGTGCAGCTAGTTTAAAAAAATGGAAACTTGATCTATATTTGTTTATAACTGTAAGGAAATTCTTACTTGTTTTGTCAAGTTGACCAAAGAGAATCAGTTTCAGTAATGCAGATTACTTATAAATAAGTAATAAGCAATTTTGTGACTGTAGATATAACACCTAATCTATTCATTCTGCTCCCTCTCCTATTATTAAGTAGTCTTTTTTCTGCCCCCCTATCTAGACCAGCCTTTCATTTCTGGCTTCTCTGCTTCCATGGTACTTGTATATGCATTCTGTTATAATGACTTTTTCCAAGTTGGTTTCTGCACAAAACTCTGAAATTCTTTAGCACTGGACCTTCCCTTAGCATCTAGCACTGAGGTTAATAGAATGAAGAAGTTTGTTTTGTCAGAAACAGATCTGATTTACTAGGACATTTAAAATATATTGAGTCTCACTTAGATTTGTTTTCTGCTTTTATTTCTTATTTCTTGATAAATCAAACCAAGTTTTAAGTAACATTTTACTGCATTTTACTCGAGTGTACTCACAGACTTTGACAATTTTAGAAATTCTAAACTTTATGTGACACCATAGGCAATATTTAATCCTAGGACTTATAATGGTATATGACTGAATGTGTGCTCACTGGTGACACCAAACTGTTATTTTGTGACACTTAGCTGACAAGTGTACTTTTACCTCTCAGTTTATTCCTTTTTAATAAGTATTAAGAGGACCAAAAAGAGATAATTTCTTCAAATATTGAGGTACTCCATTGGGGGCAAGTCTTTAAAACTTGTCCTGACAGTATCCTGAGAACAAGTAGGGGTTTATTCATATTGTTTATTTTCACACCTTTGGTGAGGAGACCCCAATTATTACATTGTTTGCACATTTTTCACACTGTGTTATTAGAAAGTGTGTTAACTGCAATTTTTGGTTTGGTGAGTGTGTGTGTATTAGATAGATGCTAAGAAATGCAGTCTAATTCAATATTGTTAGATGAAGGTATGCTAGGAAGAAACACATAATTGGAAGTGGAGGTTTAATGAAAAATGAAAAAAGGAGAAGAAAAAAGGAAGAAGTCTGTGAGATTTTACAAATAAAGCTTCTCTTAAGACTTAGAATAGGAAAAAAGTAGTCATAAGAGGGAAATGTTATAAGATCATTGAAAGGCTAAACCAGCAGTCAGCAGACAAGCGAGCTAAAGGGGGAATTTTGGTTTTGTTTTAAGTAAAGTTTCTAATTTCTGTTTTGATTTTAAAAGCAGCATATTTTCATTTAAATAAAATTTGGTAAGTAGAGAAGAATATCTTCTTACTTTCTTTGATCATTGCATCTACTCTAAGACAGTCTCTGTGAACCTTTGAATGTGAAAAAATTTGTTTTGTAAAAAATATCATTTAAAAGAAGCTTTGTGGGGGTTGATGACCATGTACTCTTTTGTATTTTAGTTTCCTGCTGCTGATAGTTGCTCTTGTGGCTTCCTACTCAGTTCATCTCCTGCTTAGTATGTGTATACAGACAGGTAATATATACTGATTATACTGATTCGTTTGATGACACAGCCTCTTGAGATTATATCTACACGTAGGATTAGATGTTTCAAATCTAATTTCTAGTGGGCATACATTATTACTAGGTAGGATGATCAAAATGGAGATTTATATTTTTTACTTGCAAGTCTAGAATAAAGTGGGTTTTTAAGTAAGTGACGGAAGTGTATGTAATTGTTATACATATATGTATATGTATACATATATGTATGTATTTGTGTTTTTTCCACTTGGAACTTTATTATGTAACTTAGTCATAGTGAATAAATTCTTTTTAAGTAGTACTTTTAAATAAAAGTATATGAATTTTAGAACTTCTGGCATTAACAAATATACGTCCATCCATCCTGGTCTTTTTATCTCTCTAGTCTTTTCTGTCTTTGGATGAGGTCAATTATGATGCTAGAATCATGAGTTTAATTCATATGTGGGTGAATTCACTATGCTCTATGTGATCTTGTAGTTTTCAGACTTTCAGAAGTAGAATTGATATGTAAAATAAATAAAAATGGGATTATTCTGACTGAAGTAGCCTAGAGGTATTTCTCGAGAATTTGAAGACTCTTAAAAACATAGTTCTAAATCCATTGCTGTAATCTGTTTATGCATCAGATACACTTGCATATCTTTTTATAAACTGAGGTTTCTAAGCCTGGAATCTAATGCCTAGAATCTAAGGTAGGATTCAGAAATATATCATTAACAAGTCCTCCAGGTAAATCTTAACCCAAACTGGTTTAGGATCTGTAGTTCATAGCTATAACTTGTATCACTGCTTTTGGCCTTCCAGCCTACAAATGTATGCCTCTTCTTTTAAGAGGCCTGGGTTAGATAGAATATTAGTCAGATACAAATACTAGGAAACAATGCAATAAAACTAATCTCAAAGTAACAAGTTATTCATAACAGCATTCTAAGTTCAGAAATGATAGCATTAAATACACTTATTTTAAATCCTTTTGAAACTTGATTGGAATTTTAATGACCTTTTGAAATTTTGCTTCTTTGTGTAAAAATATATGTTTACTTAATTGTGATAGTTAGCATCTTAATGATTATTTCATGACAGATTCTCCTAAAGGTTAATGTTATCAATTACATGACAGTTATGTCTTCATTACTATAATGCTTTGCTCTATTAAGTTCAATTATTTGGGGGTAATAATTCAATTTATGAAGATTTCCCAGTAATGCTAATTTTCTGTCTCTCCTTCAATTTAACAATATTTGGCTTTAAAATTCTAATACTGTGCTGTTTTTTAAATAAATTTGGGACATATAAAGTGAAAACCTCTATTTCTCTTTCTTTTTTTCTTTTTCTTTGATTTTTGTAGCCTATTTGGTCCATGAACTAACTTCTTCATGGTTCTTCGTACACAGTGATGCACCTGTCTTCTGTTGATTGAATTCCTTCAGTCAGTGTAAAATTCTCTCTGGAGGTAGGCTTTTCAAAAAGCTAGCTATCTATCTATTTACAAAAGACTAGAGAATAATATGTAGCTAATTTTTCCTCTCATTTTGTTGGATTGTTATTAAGGAGTGTCATGCTTAGATTGGATTCATTGGTCAGAGAAGAGAATATCAGAAGTCTTTACGAAATAATTTAATTATTATCCTGGAGGTAAAAGGTGATGTGAAAGCTTTATCTTTATAAAAGTTAAGAATTTCTGTACATTAAGTTCTGCTATTTTAGATT